CTTTAAATGTTCAATAACTTGCTAGAATAGCCCACAGAACTCAGAGAAACACTTTACTTAATATTACTGGTTTATTATAAAGGATATAAGTCAGGAACAGCCAAATAGAAGAGATGTATAGGACAAAGTATGTAGGAAGTGGTGATGGGTTTCATGCCCTCACCAGGCATGCTACCCCCTCAACACCTCCATGTGTTCACCAACAAAGAAGCTATCTGAACCTAGTTTTGGGGGTTTTGTGGAAATTTCATTACTAAACATGATTGATTAAATCATTGGCCATTGGTGATTGCTGTGGTCTGAATGTGTCCTTCAAAATTCAGAGTGAAATTTAATCACCAACCTAATAGTATTAAGAGATGGGGCTTTTAGGAGGTGATTATATCATGAGGGTGGATCCCTCATGGATTAGGGCCCTTATAAAGGGGCTTCAGGAAGTAAGATCTCTGCTGCTCTTCTGTCACGTAAGGACATGTCTTTTGCCCTTTTGCCTTCCATCACGTTAGGACACAGCAAGAAAGCCCTCACTAGACATCAAATGCTAGGACCTTGTTCTTGGATTTCCCAGCCTCCATAAGTTTAATAAGTTTCTGTTCTTTACAAATTAGTCAATCTCAGGTACTTCTTTATAGCACAACAAATGGACTAAAACAGAAATCGCTACCAGAGAAGTGGGGCATTGCTGTAACAAATACCTCAAATGTGAAAGGGGCTTTAGAACTGGGTACTGAGTAAAGGCTGACAGAATTTGGAGGAGCAGGCTAGAAAAGGCCTGAATGGAGTATTAAAGGTGACTTTGGTGAGGGATTGGAAGAGGAGAGTTATAGAGAGAGACTCAGTCTTCTTAGAGATTATCTAAGAGGTTGTGATCACAATGCTGGTAGCAATATAAACAGTAAAGATCATTGTGAAGAGGTCTTAGACAGAAATGAGGAATATCTTACTGGAAACTGGAGGAAAAGCCATCCTTATTACAAAATGGCAAAGAACTTCGTTGAATTGTGCCTGTGTTCTAGCTAATACTTTATAGAGGGCAAAATATTGGCAGTACAATTCTCTAAGCAATTTGTTCAGGGTTCTCTTAACTGCTCATAATAAAATTCAAGGAGAAAAAAATATTAAAGATGGAATTTAAAATCAAAGGGAAGCAGAATTTAAAGATTTTGAAAATCGTCAGCCTGGCTAGGTTGTAAAAGCATGTTTGGAAGAAAACACCAAGGGTGTGGCCAAGTGACAGTTTGCTAAGGAGATTAGTATGGATAGAGTGCCCATGCCTGGAAAACAGAACTATGTTAAAGTAGGGGCCCAGGTTGCCTGAAGGGACCTCAGCATTTGCTGCCCAGTATTGCCTCGGTATCTGTGCCACGTGCAGCACTCCTCAGGCACCCCAGCTGTGTGTAGCTCAAGTAGCCCCAGGTGTGGCTAGTGCCACTGCTCTGGAAGATACGGGCTGTAAACCTTGGAAATGTCCATGTTATGCTAACTCTGCAGTCAGAGTGCAAGGGCTGCAGAGCCATGGCTCCCTCCATGTAAATTTCAGAGGATGCTCCAGAAAGCCCTGGGACCAAAGCAGAGAACTATGACAAGGGTGGAGCTACAAGAGAGTCTCTACTAGGGCTATGTCCAGCAGAGATGTTGGGGCAAGGCTGCCCCTGAGACTCCAAAACTACAGAACCACTGGAGTGCAATCCCAGCCTGGGAGAGCTACTGTGTAAGCTGCACCCAGCAAAGCCATAGGGGTGAGAGGCCCCCTAGGGTTTTAGGGGCCCCAATCCTACCCCAGTATGTCAGGAAGATTATTCTCAAGCCTTAAGATTTAATATTGTTTGCCTTGATGGGTTTTGGACTTACTTGGGACCTGTTACTCCTTTCTTCTTTTCTACCGGAAATAGACATCTTGGAATGAAAATGTCTCTCCTATGGCTGTCCCATCATTGTGTTCTGGATGTAACTTGTTCCTTAAAGATTCACAGCTGGAAAGAAACTTGCCTCAGAATGACTCTTGCCTTGAGTCTCACCTGTATCTTGATGTATATGAGACTCTGGACAGTAGACTCTTGAGTTGGTGCTGGAACAAGTTAGGACTTTTGGGTTTACTGAGATGAAATGAATATATTCCTATATGAAAAGGACACGAATTTGGTGGGGGGGGGTCAGGGATGGAATACTATGGCCTAAATGTGTCCCCCAAAATTCATATATTAAAATTTAATTGTCAGTGTCATAGTGTAAGAGGTAAGTCATGAATGGGATTAGGGTGAGTAAGTCATGAATGGGATTAGCTCAAAGGCTTGATGGATCGGGTACTCTCTCTTCTGCTCTTCTGTGAGGACATAGCATTCGTCTCCTTTTTTGGTCCCGTTATCATGTGACATATGAAGGCCCCAACATTGACTGCCAGAGCCCCTATGTTGGACATCCCAGCCTCCAGAACTGTGAGAAAACAAATTACTGTTCTTTATACATTACCCAGTCTCAGGTAGTCATAGCAGAACAAATGCACTAAGAGTGATCAACTCAGCCTCGAGAGGTCAAGGGGTGGGGTTGAAAGTCCCAACCCTCTAATCATGCCTTGGTCTTATAACTGGCCCCCATCCTGAATCTTATTCACAGGACCCCAGCCACCTCATTAGTGTACAAAAGGCACCACTAAAGAGATTTCAAGGGTCTTCGAAGCTCTGGTGTCAGGAACTGTGGACTAAGATCAAATATAACAAAAGATGCTCCTGTCACTTCTATTACTCAGAAAACTATAAGAAGATTAGGAGTTCTGTGCCAGGAACTGGAGGCAAGGACCAAATATGTATTTTATTATATCATCACAACCTTCCATCTTGCTTTGGGGATCGATCCAATAAGTGTACACCAGACTTGAGAGGGAAATGAAAACCTGTCCATGGACTAGGGAGTTCTTTACACCTGGTGCCACTGTTAATACCACCTCATTTAATGATAGGCAAAGGAACTCAAAAGAGCATCAGAAGCACAGGAGTGGGGATGGAAGAAGGGAGACTGGCTCTTTTTATTAAATATAACCATGCTGCACAGAGCCACTTAACACTCTTCAAAGACTGTCAAACACCTCAGTGGAATGACTTTCTCTTCTCAGGGTAGTACAAAAGCCAGTGGGGCTCAGGTACAAAATGGATGATTGACTGGTGGGTAGAAGCCAAAAAGACACACATACACACAAAAAAAACAGTACAATCTTTTAAAAGTTCCAAGTCATTAGCTTTATTTTCAGTGAATTCAGCATGGGGTGACAAAAGCACATCATATCACTACTATTGACTATTTATTACATATAGGCATTATTCTTACATTCTTTACATTCATTTTCTACTTTAAGTCTCTTAATCCATTATTAATTTAAAATGATTTCTTACCAAAAATCTCCAGTTCATATAACCAAGAGTTAATAAATACTCCTTTAAAAGTTTTGAGAATTTAACAGTCTAAATTGCAAATTTCAAAAAATGTTTATAAAGTTCATTTACCAAGAGGAGGCAAAACATAGTGTAGAACTTTTATTTTCCAGAAGCTATTTCTATTCTTTTCTTTTCTCTTGCAAACTGGAGTTTTTTAATCTTTACAAGTTCTCTGTCATTGCATAAGAAACCTAACCCTTTTTCCCATTTCATAAAAGACAGTTAACAGTGGTACAAAAAAATCCAGTTCACCTAAAATTTGAGTTAACTTTCAGAGAGCAGATGATGGCTGGGATTTGGGGGCAAAGTGAGATTCAGATTCCAGTAAGATTGAGGGTCATTCATAAAAGTTACGAGGCTGTGGTAAAGGAAGAACAAAAAATAAACTGGGTTCCTGCAGGTGGGTGAGAAGACAGAATGAGTAGGAATGGTAAGACAGCAAGGCAGTATAATTAGGCCTGTGGGTGCTATGCCTTCTGATAGTAATTATGAATACAAACAAAAGAATAATAATATGTAAGCGATCAATCTTTGAGAGTTGAAGCAGGGAGAAGAAAGGATGACATTATACCTTGTCCCTGGGTTCATTCAGTTTACTAGGCAGGAGTGTGAAACCTACTGGGTGAAATTATAATGAAACCATTCTTTGCTAAAGTCATCTGCTTTCTTGGGGTCCTTTCTCTGTATTCTATCCAATGATAAAACTGTGCTGGTTTATGCCTCCTGGAAAATAATTATTCAGAAACATTACAGGTGAGAAGCACTGGTGAGATGGCCAATGGAGAATATGTTTCCAGGTAGCCTGAAACCCAGCAGACAATGTAGCTGTTGCCTAACAAACACAGAAATCTACATTGTGTGCCAGGTTCATGCCCCAGACCTGGATGTTTGGCCTGCAGGTCGTACCCACATACTATTTCAACATAATTACCTGTTACATTCAAGATTTCAAAATTGATATTTGTCTTTTCCACTGTAAGAAAAGGACAACCAGAAGTCAGAATTACTGGGACTTAGATATGGCAAATGAAATTTCCTTAACCAAGTGTATCATCAAGCTGTCCTTATTTAATTACCATGTTATATTGAAAATGCCACCTAAAAAGTCAAGAGATGAAAAAGGTGCAAGGGTGGGTGGGTGGGTGGATGGATGGGTGGGTGGGTGGGTTAATGGGTGAATGGATGGATGGTCATGAAGGTAAATAAATAGGTAGGTAGATGGGTGGTTGGTTGGGTAGGTAGGCAGGTAGATAGGTATCAAATAGACCTTATTCATAAACCTTGATGGTTCCCAAACCCCAGATAATAATGGAGGACTTCATACCCCAGAACTTGACTCTGTGTGTGTGTGTGTGTGTGTGTGTGTGTGTGTGTGTGTGTGTGTGTGTGTGTGTAGAGAGAGAGAGAACTCAGGTAAAGCTTCCATTATTAAGGACTGCCCAATAACCTTGCTCGGGACAGTGTAACTGAAGCTAGAAGATGCCATCAGAGACCCAGTAGCCAGATGTAGCTGCTGATTACTAAACACAGGATCTACACTGGCTACTGAGCGATCGAGGGTACCCACACCTTCTGGCAGCTGTACCATCTTTGGCCTTCTAGGGAGGGACTCTGTGGAAAGAAAGAGAAGATGTTAATTCTGGAAACTAATGTGCAATCAATCAAGACATTTGAATTGTGTATTTTCTTTGGGTTATAAATTGACATTGACAATAATCCCATGTATGCAGTTTTAATCAACATCTAGATTTATTTATTTACTCAACAAATACTGAATGTGTGATATTAAAGAAGGTGCCAGATATTCTTTTCAGGTGCTGGAGATGCAACAAGAACCGAAAAAGATGAAAATCCCTGCACTTCTATTTAGAGTGTACACAATTCCTTGTCAGAATATCTACAATTATTTGGTATGTCCACTGAGGAACTTAAAAATCTAAGATTTAAGATAAGGGTAGGGAAAAACAGGAGGGAAAAACTTCAATAGGTATGTATGTTCTCATTTCATAGAGTAATGAAAAGGAATGCTTAAAAGGAATGCTATTTTCACTAAGGTGATCAGGGAAAGCCTCACTGAAGGCCTGACATTTGACTGGATTGGAGGAGGAGGAGGCGTAGGAGGAGGATTGTGCACATACCTGGGGTGGGAAGGACACCACAGGTAGAGCCAAGAGTCAGAACAAAGGCACCGAAGCAGGAAAAAGCCTGTTGTCTTGAATAAGGTGTTCTTATAAATAGCACATGACCACATGGCCAATTATTATTTTCTAATTTGAGGATTATTCTAGAACATAAATGACTATGCAACTTTGCTCCAAGTACACGTCTTAGAATCCTACCTTCTTAGGAATTTAAAATGCTTCAGCTATCACTTAGAAAAGATTTAATAAAGTTATTATGAATTAGAAGAAAGGCTATACTTAGAACTTTAAATTAGTACAATTTGATTGGACATGCACCTGGAACACAGAAAGACATTCACATATTTATTGCCAAGAGAGAAGTGGCTTTTTAAAAAAAATGTGTTAGCTGTAAGAAAAGATAACTAGCTTTCTGGAAGCTCTAAATATACACATATCTAGAGAACGATTTAACTATTTAATCACATATGCCTCCTTTTAAGAGGCAACTCACTTGCCAAGTTACAATAATAGTATTTGACCAGCATAGTTAGCTCTTGGGGGAGGATAAGAATGGAATTTACAAGGTGAGGCAGGTTTTTGGTTTCATTGTTTGCATTTTTTATTTTTAAATAAAATTAAAACCAATCCAATCTATGAAGTATATTTTGACATTGCCTACAAACCAGAGTATGCATGCAGAATGGAGGGAAAAGACCATTTGTACAGGTTTAGCTAAATCTTACTCTAAATGTAAAATAAAAGTGTTTATAGAGCACACAAATTTACATTGCATAACCCACTAAAGCTAACTGTTCATAACTCTACTTTTATGAATAAGAGTAACAAAGTGAGGCAAGGATTTACTGTGGTTAGTTTCAATGCCAAAACCCAAAGGATTATCTTTTGTAAATCCTGGTTCATAGTTAGATCAGAAAAATTGTATTTTTAAATTCTCAAAGCATGCCTTATCTATCCTCCAAATCTTACTAAATTTAAAGAACTAAAGTTAAAGAGGTCTTTTGCGCCTTCTTTTAAGTTTATCTGGGTAATACAAATAGGAAAAATTATAAACAAAATTTTGTTAAAGGTTACTTTAGTGTCAAGCATGAAACCTATAATACACATTTCCTTAAGTGTATTAAAAACAAAGAATAGTATAGAAAATAGCATAGAATACTAAGCAATAACATATTTTTAGAGTTTATAAATATAAGTCAAACAAAAGACATAGGATCAAAGTAGACTGCTGGGTTATATAATTCTGTTATCTAACAATTAAGAGGACAACTAAGTCCCAAGGGTGGGTGATACATCTGTAACCAAGGTACTTGCTGCTGAAGTCCTGTTCACAGTGCAAACAAAACAAAAATACGAATAAACAAAAGACCCCATCCATTCTGGCTAAAGACCATTTATTTGAGGTAAGGGAAAGAGTTTAAAGGGAGAAAAAGACTGATGAAAAGTTAAGCCTGCCACCTGCTGTTGGAAAGCTTGTTTTGAACTGATATAAAGACCATTTCTTGAAATGTTAACCCAGAATTTGAAGGGTACTATTTGAAAAGCTTATACTCTTCAAACGGGCAATATATACACCAAACCAAGAAGAACCTACTGATGTTTAAAGCCTAGCTGACAGATATAAAATGACATTCACATCAAAGTTTCACTAAAAATGAAAGAAATGCTGCTTCATGGGCCATTCAACTAAAAGAAGAGTAGAATTACCCTTTTAAAGTGATTTCAAGATTGTAGTTTTTAGAAAGAAATTTTGATCCCAAGGACTGTATGTGGAAGTAAATGAAGAGGGATGAACAATTTCACAGCATTGTCAGAATGCTAAATTTACCAAGTCAAAATGTCCAAATGACTTTTTTAATCTCAAAAGTGAAAGAATCAATGCTTTTATGAATAAAAGAACTTCTGAATGCTTTCCAGTTCCATGATTTTCTATAGTCCCACCAAGTTTGGCCCCCACATGCCTCCCTGCTCGATCTCCAACCATGATACTTCACATATTTTAGTGTATATACCAGTGGCCTTTTGTAACTAAATAGAAATATAGTCAAATTCTATCATAATCTTATTTACAGATTTGACAGAACTATAAGCCAGTCCACTACTCAAACAAAGTCAGAGTTTACTTTAGAAGTGAACAAAAACTGCCTCCCACAGGGTAGATTTCATGTTAAGTGTTCTTATCACACACACACACACACACACACACACACACACACACACACACAAAACAACCTCAAGAGACTTTAGGAAGTGTTGTATATACATCTACTACCTTGACTGTAGTGATACTGCTATCACAGGTGTTTGCATACATGCAAACTCAAATTGTCCACATGAAATATGTACAGTTCTTTGTTTATCAATTACACTTAAATAAAGCTGTTTTTTTAAAAACTGCCTCCCACATGGTTATGAACAAAAAGTCTGATTAACTCTTATTATACAACAGAAAAAGAGATGTACACATGTACACACAATGTGCCACAGGGTGAAATTATGCTAAAGGAGAAACCAACCTTTTAAATGCAAGTGTCTAATTAAAGTACGTTCTTATAGTTCTTATAAACTTGGATTCCTTCTGTGTTACGTTAGAGCACTTGAGCCAGGATATCACCATAACCAAGCACGTGGTTGCAGCCCGTCTAGCTCTTGCATACCTGAGATCCTGTGACTACATTGACCAAAAACATTTATACCAGCTGATGGTCACTTGATTCTCACATTTCTCTATTTAATAAATTGCTGCTCTGCAAGTCAACCTGAAGATTGAGGTGCACATTTTCTGGGACGTTCCTGCTCAAGACTCTTTTTTTAATAGACATTCCCTGGCAGATAATTCTAGTCTGAACAAGCCTGGAAAGGGACTGGGTTGGCACAAGATCCTAAAACAAGCTTCTAAAGGCGAAACCACTCAGAGCACATAAAGACAGACTCAGACTGGTTTTTAAAAAATAGTATTTAGCAATTACGTGCATGTCTTTAATCCTTCTCAACAAAAACCAAATTTTAAAAATAATCATTAGATGAAGACAGGATTCATTTTACTCATTGCAAACACTCAGAGGAAAAGGATAGTTTTAACCTAAGTAACCAACAGCCTTTTAATGGACAAGTTTAAGAAAGTAATTGCCCTAAATCCATGTGCATATATCTCTTTGTCCCCTTCCCCACACTCTGGAAGAAACCCCTAAGGCATTCTTTTCATACAATGTTGGCAGTGTGCAAGAATGGTGAGGAATTCTTGTCAGTTATCAAAAAAATAAAATAATTTGCATTCCACCTATATGTAAAAAACTAAGGATATCAAAATAAAGTAACTATTTTCTGAGCCTGTAAATAATAGAAAAAGCAGTCAGTTCTCCCAAGAATTCATGACTTAGATTTACTTAATCACAATTAACCCATTACTACACTATTACACAGGTCTTTCTATATATTTAGTCTCGTTTCTAAGCCTTATTCTATTTTCTAAAGGTATCAACCTCACACATGCCTAATATTACAGGCTTCATTTATAATCAAATATCTAGCAAGCCTCTGCTTTTGCCACTGCATAGAACTCCAACATCTTATGGTACAATATTCTTTGAGTAGTCTCTTCTTTGACTCTTCCCATCAAGTTTCACTCAACTCAGATGGACTGAGTTAGGAGCAAAGTATGTGGCCTCCACACACTGCCTGCCCAGCACTCTCTGCCAAGCCTGGCTCAGAGAGACTCTTCCAGGATGCTAAAGGGCCTTCCTGGATTTCTCTGGGAAGCTCCCAGTTCACTCAGTATGTGTCTCAGCCAGAAACACAAGTTATAAACATTGCTCTTCATTTATTTGCTTAGAAGTATACCTCCCTATGAGAATGTGAGCTCTATGAGATTAAGAATCAAGTTTTATTATTTTGAGATTTCCCAGGTACCAGCATAGTCGACTGGATCATAGTCTCACATTTCTTTGTTTGACCAATATTTACCAAAGATGAACTATGAACCAGTGCACTACTGGTCAATTCAAGAAATGTGAGTGAATAGACAGTAAAATGATCGGCACCTATGCCAATATACTTCAAAAAAACCACCAAAAAACAGTGAGAGAATTATCTCCATTCAGTAAAAAGCTTGTATTTATTTGTCCTTTAAACATTTCTTGCTTTCCATCTTAGTTTTATAGTACTTTTCTGTAAGATTTGTAGAGGCTTATAGGATCAAGGTATTTATTCCCGTTAACAGAAATACAGCTAGTGAAAGCATTCTTACAGTGAATGTTTATATACAATCACAGGCATAGAAAGAGTCCTAGGGCTCAGGAAGGCTATCCTAACTTCCTTCATTTCATGCAACAAGGAAATAAGATCTATGCTGATGAAATGAAAGAATTAAGACAACTAGTGGAGCAGAAAGAGAACATCCTTGTGTGTGATTTCTTTTGCTTGTGATGGTTATAAAATTAGCTATATATTATAATCAAATGAGGTCTCTTCCAAAAACCATAGAAGTCTACCAAAAGCTCAACCACATTGGGTATCAATTATCATGAGTTCTATGGTAGTATGTCAATTTTTAAAATTAGGTGGTTTATAGTAAATGCCTCATACCACAAAGGAGAAGGGAAGACAGCTAAAAGGATATGTGAAGATTTGGAAGGACTAATAAAAATGACTTTAAAATGACAATGGACTAAATGTATGTATCATATCCAAAGATACTATCTAATGACCTACCAGCTACAACATACACACAATTCAGCAAAGAGGAACAGGGTGAAAACATGGATTCTGCTTATGTAACAAAGAGAAAAAAACAAAGAAAAATGGGGAAATTAATTGAGATTTTGAAAGAAATAATGCTCTAAAAATGTGTTAAGTGAAAGGGAAAGGGAGAATTAGCTATTTTTGAAATTCCAGAGAATGGGAAAAAATAGCAATATAAAGACCTAAGACCTACCTTCAACTCAAGTATTTCTTCCCAGAGTGGCTGTCACACCATGGACATGTGATCAGTACTTCAACTGTTCATAAGGAAACCAAAAGTGTTTTATTGGAAATAACTCAATAGAAACGAAGAGCCATGCACAGTCTTGATGGCAGTATTCTTCTATCCCTTCTTCTCTCCTTGTTGGTTAATACTAGACTGTGCTTATGCTGACAGTGGAAAGTTTTTGACAATGTATGGCCAGCTCTACAGAGCAAATGTAAGTATTTATAGAGAAATACTATCAATATAATTAAATGTCAGATTTAAAATTAGGATCCAAAATAAATAACAAAGAGGAAAACAGCAAAAGATCAAGCACTCAGACTACAACTAGAGATGGCAGCATATAGTCTGGAATGTGTAAAGGAAGAAAGAGAGCTCTCCCCGTCCCCACTGCAAGTGAGATCAAACAAGGAGGAGAGGTGTCAGTCAATGTATGCAAAGAGAAAAGGGGTACAGAGAAGCCCAACATCCAGGCACTCATCAAAGAGGCAACAGCTTCATGGGTGCCTACTATTAACTAGGTAAAAGAGGAAGTTTAGCCGGGCGCGGTGGCTCACGCCTGTAATCCTAGCTCTTGGGAGGCTGAGGCGGGCGGATTGCTCAAGGTCAGGAGTTCGAAACCAGCCTGAGCAAGAGCGAGACCACGTCTCTACTATAAATACAAAGAAATTAATTGGCCAACTGATATATATATAAATAATTAGCCGGGCATGGTGGTGCATGCCTGTAGTCCCAGCTACTTGGGAGGCTGAGGCAGAAGGATTGCTTGAGCCTAGGAGTTTGAGGTTGCTGTGAGCTAGGCTGACGCCATGGCACTCACTCTAGCCTGGGCAACAAAGCGAGACTCTGTCTCAAAAAAAAAAAAAAAAAAAAAAAGAGGAAGTTTAACAGATGGAGAAAACCAGAAAGTGTGGAAGGAAAGGATGCAGGAGTAACTCTAGGGAGTTTAAAAAAATAAAAGTTAGAAAAGGTGAGTATCCAGAGTCCAAGAGAAAGGGAAGATTATTCATAGGCTTAGACAAAGTCAAGAGATGAAGGAAGGAAGTCTTTCTTCCTGTGTGGGGTGAGGGCAGCAGTAGCGGCAAACTATCACTAGGTTGAAAGGGGAAATAACAGAAACAAAACTGCTGTTTATATTGATGGTAAGTAACACAGGGGAAATCTAGTTCCTCTTCCTACGAGTAAAGAAAGAGGTCAAGAAAAGTACCTGGCACTAAAGGATGGTATAATCTTGAAAGGACTGGCTTGAGGACCAGAGAATGTGTATACGTGTGTGGAGGGGGGACCTAAGGGACTGTGAATGACAATGTGCTATGGGAGTAATCTGCAGTCAAAAAGAAATAGCAGAACTCTCTCAGGTAGAGAAAATGACAGAGCACAAGGAGCTCAAAAATGAAGGGTAGCCCTCAACTTCTTAGAACACACTAGATGTAAGTTGGCAATGCTGAAAGAGCAGGGAGCCTCAGAGTCTAAGATGGAGCTTTCCTGAGGTAGCCAGCCCATGGATTGTCTAACTGTCCTATACAGAATGTGACTAGCCAAGAATGATCCCAATGTACCTAGGTCCAGAATCACCTGATCCCATTCTGGACTTAATGGGGCTAACACCATGTTTGTCTTCCTGCTTCGCATTCCTAGCTAGTAGGTATTTCTCATGGACAATCACTATTCATTCTGATGTTTCTCTCCTATAAGCCCTACTCTTGATTATCAAACTTTCTGTAATCTGGAGAACAAAGATTATTCATGTCATGCTGACACATCAAATTAAACCCATCCTACTAATGGGATCACTAATAGTAAATGTAAGCCCTGCACTGACAGGAGAGAGCTGTTGTGTACATTACTACTTTTCTTTCATAGCTGCCCCTATGAAAGCCAGTATGGACCATGGAATTAGGGATGGAATAAATTAGAACACTTATTTTCCATGGCAGATTTAGAGGATTTGGTGAAAAACAAAACAAAGAAATAAGGCTTCCCTCAACTAACTGTCATCCTTAGACAAAACGTTATACTCTTTGCACTCCCATATTATTATATCCCCTGATTTTCTAAAGTTAAAATAACATCTGAATGAGTCTTTAAGTCATGAATAAAACGTTTAGAAAATGGAACTCTCGGCTGGGCGTGGTGGCTCACGCCTGTAATCCTAGCTCTCTGGGAGGCCGAGGCGGGTGGATTGCTCGAGGTCAGGAGTTCGAAACCAGCCTGAGCAAGAGCGAGACCCGTCTCTACTATAAATAGAAAGAAACTAATTGGCCAACTAATATATATAGAAAAAATTAGCCGGGCATGGTGGCTCATGCCTGTAGTCCCAGCTACTTGGGAGGCTGAGACAGAAGGATCGCTTGAGCCCAGGAGTTTGAGGTTGCTGTGAGCTAGGCTGACGCCATGGCACTCACTCTAGCCTAGGCAACAAAGCGAGATTCTGTCTCAAAAAAAAAAAAAAAAAAAAAAAAAGAAAATGGAACTTTCAAGAGCCAGTCAAGAAAACAAGTCATGTTTTCCTTTAGAAGTGCCACAAGGTACAGACAGAAAACTCTTAGGAAAATTGTCATTTTACCAATGAATCAGCATTTCCCAAAGTGCGTTCTTGAGAGCCTTCAACCAGGACTTGATCCACAAATAGTTCTTTGACTCCATTAAATTTGGAAAATGTACGTGTACCATATGCCCCTCTTAAAAGTTTCAACACAGGCCGGGCGCGGTGGCTCACGCCTGTAATCCTAGCACTCTGGGAGGCCGAGGCGGGCGGATTGCTTGAGGTCAGGAGTTCAAAACCAGCCTGAGCAAGAGCGAGACCCCCGTCTCTACTATAAATAGAAAGAAATTAATTGGCCAACTAATATATATAGAAAAAATCAGCCGGACATAGTGGCACATGCCTGTAGTCCCAGCTACTCGGGAGGCTGAGGCAGAAGGATTGCTTGAGCCCAGGAGACTGAGGTTGCTGTGAGCTAGGCTGACGCCATGGCACTCACTCTAGCCTGGGCAACAGAGAGAGACTCTGTCTCAAAAAAAAAAAAAAAAAGTTTCAACACAAATATGAAAGGTTCTGAGAAGTCCTGCAGAAAAAGAAACCTATTTGATGTTGTTAAATCTAGCTTTTCCTAAACTCATTAGACCACAGAATTCTTTTCCTGCCTCCTAAAAAGGTACTTTGTGAAATGCTGTCTCAGAGAGTACTGAAGGTTTTAACTGGTTTCCATGCCGTTTATCACATACAAAGTCACAAAAGATCTGAGGCAGCTGCCCCTAACCCAGGAATAAGAAGAGGCATGGCAAAGAAAGAAGGCTGCTAAAAGTGACAAAGAGTGAGGAGTAGAGATGTGCAGGTGACAGTATCAAAGAGAAAAGGAGGGTGCTAGGCATAGGCCAACCTTGTTGGTTAAGTAAACCTCAATGGCACCTGCCTTTAGCTCTGTTTTCTGAGTCACCGGGACCTAAGTATCTTTTAAAGAAGAATTTAAAATAATCCAGTGCACAAGATTTGTTGTGCACCTTTCCAACTTTGAAGGAAGTCACAGGGTGACTAATGGAATTAAACTGCCGTGTTTCCCTATTGGGTTTACAAACCCATTCACTCACTACTGTGTCATCAATAACCCAGGCGAGATAAGGGTGATCACGAAGTGATGTCAACACCTGCAAGCCATGAGGCTGCCCAGTATCCATGGCTTTGGCACATGTGAGGGTCAAAGATTCTTTGAGCCTTGAAACAACCTTAGGAAGCTAGTGACTATGTTATTATCCATTTACAGATGGGGAAACTGAGGATTAGAGGGGACCATTGCCTTGAATACCTCATATACAAATAAAAGAGACTCTAGTAACTGCCTGAAAAATGGATGAGCCAACAGATTTGACCAAATACTTAATGACAAGAGTTTGGAGAAGCAGCAAGTTATAGTATGGATAATGGTGACCTCTGAGCAATAAAAGGGTGCTATGTGGTATAGGCAAGTAGCTTATATTGTCTGAGTCTCAGTTTGCTCCCAAAGCAAATGAGGATAATACTGACCCTACCTATAACAAGACCATGGAAAAGATTAACACAGAATGAGGTTCGTGTAAGTACTTTATAGTTAATAATTCTGTATCATATCCATGAAATTTTCCAAGAGATCTTAAATGTTCTCACCACCAAAAAAATGTGAGGTCACACATATGCTAATTAGCTTGACTGTGGTAAATATTTCATAATGTATACATATATCAATATGTTATACACTGTGAATATATAGTTGTCAATTAAACCTCGATAAATCTGAGAAAAAAACTAAATGTGCTCTGCAAATATAAGAGATTTCTCTAACAATGGTAGAAGCAAATGCCAGGCATTTCTATGTCTTATCTTTTTGCAATCTCAATCCAGCTTCAGTTGCCTTAGCCACATAGCATGTTGAGTGCTACACTTGTTGTGTTTAACTGCAAATGCTTAGAAACCAGGCAGGCAGCTAGGCAGCTGGCCCCACCATGCTGGAAAAGATACTTCCTGTACCACTCATTTAAATGCCTTGTAAAACAGGTGAAACTAAAGAGATTATATTAATTATCTTCACCGTTTACTTTGGTTTCTCATCAGTACTACAAAGTTATATTTCTATCCCCAAACCATTAAAAATCCATCAGGTTTTTTCCCCAAGAAATGCTAATTTTTATTTTGCCAAATAAAGATGTTTTTAAACCTTCCATCTACTATGATAATGATTTTTATAATTAGGTTTTTTAAAATTGATGAAAAACTGACCTGATAAACTACATATAAAGTATACAGTTTGAGAAGTTTTGACACATATGTATATACCCATGAAATCATCACCATAATCAAGACAGTGAAACCAGCCCCTAAGTTTACTCATGCCTTTCTGTAGTCCCTTTCTTTTGCCACTCCTACCTCCCCCACCTAAAGCAACCACTGGTCTGCTGTCCGTATAGATTTCTTTGCATTTTCTAGAATTACTTATATAAATGGAATCATATAATATTATGTACTTTCATGGGTGAGGGTCATCCATGTTATTGAAA